TCATGCAGGACTAGATTAAGAAAAAATTCTGGACTTTATCATTTTGGATACTGATATAAAGTCATCACAATAGAAGCTGAACAGAATTGTCGCGTGTAGTCGATAGTGCTTTTGTATGCATTGTCCTGTCATTTGTTTGTACCCAGGCCACTTTTATACTTTCGATGTATCATTTAATAAAAAACACTGGAGCAACTCGTCTTTGTGCAGAGGCTGTTCCTGTGCCTGTTCGGTCATCAAGAGGTGGACGCCAGGACGGGAAGAATGGTTGGAGGCGGCTCCCCAGGCCCCCCCTTCCCCCTGCAGGCTCCCCGGCAGCCTGGGTGGAGGGTGGAGGGTGAAGGGAGGGAGCTGTGCCCCGCGTGTGCCCTTGCCATCAGCCACCTCACCTGCCACACTTACTCTTCACCCCGGGGGCTGGTGGGGACGGTGTTGTAACCGGGGACGTGGCCATTTAGGGCTTCAGAAGAGCACATGCAGCACTCTTTTTTTATATTTGGAAAAAGGGAAAACCACCTATTTTCAAAAAACTAAGATTTTTATGATTTCCACAGAGGACCTTAGGTTGAGAAAAATGTACTCCAGAAATGTTTATACTCAGGATATTTGAACTGTGTCAATTAATTTATAAGCCAGTAGTTGAAGAAGGTGCATGGGCTGAGATAGCAAAAAAAAAAAAAAAAATCTGAATACAGAGGACCCATCAAGCTCTTGTCCTCTAACTCAAAAAACTAAATCTGCATCACTGCTGGTGGTTTTCATGGGTTGTTAGGAGAAGTTCTCTTCCAGAAATACAGAGAAGTTTTAGGGGAAGACTTGGATTTACACAAAAATAGGATGGGAATTGGGACTGAAGAGGGATTTAGGAAAAGTGGAAATCTGAAACTTGGGCAGTTAAAAAACAGCAGGAACAGAGGTGGCGTTTGAAGATGATAAATTTAGCTTAGCATATATGTTTGCATAGAGTAAACTAATAGCTTTATAATTATGTGCAAGAATGCATTTGTATATGACTCGCATGCCTGTATGATTATATAAAATTTGATGTGTTCCTTTAACCTAAAGCCAAGTGTACACAAAGGATTAACATTTGTGAGAATATGCCTTTAAAGGCATTTAGGACAATCCTCCCCAGCCACTTGGGTATTTGATTTTTGTAACAACCGTTCTGCAAGGATTGTGTGGTCTTAATTTTTTTTTTTTAATAAAAGGTAAAACTACTCTAAAAAAAAATAGACCTTATTTCTTGAATATAACGTGCACAGAGTTTCCATACACCACCTATCCCCACACTCGCAGCCTCCCCCATTTTTAGCAGCACCCCCCCCCCCAATCAGGGTGGCACGTTTGTTCCAATCGATGGACCTGCACTGACCACATTCTCACTCAAAGTCCATAGTTCACATTAGGATTCATTTAAGGTGCTGTTCATTCTATGGGTCTGAACAAATATATCATGACCTGTATCCACCATTATAGTATCGTGCACAGTATTTTCACTGCCCTAAACGTCCTGTGTTCTGCCCATTCTTCCTCCCTCCCCCCAGGCCCTGGCAGCCCCAGGTCTTTTACCGTCTTCATAGTGTTGCCTTTCTCAGAATGTCAGATCTGGCATCCTGCAGTGTTTGGTCTTTACAGACCAGCTCCTTTCACGTAGGAATATGCACCTAAGATTCCTCCATGTTTTCGTGGCTTGAGAGTTGGTTTGTTTTTTAGCACCAAATAATAGTGCATCACCTCAGTGTCCCACGGTTTGTCCACTCACCTGCTGAAGAGCATCTTGGTCGCTTCCAAGTTTTGGCAGTTCCGAACAAAGTTGCTATAAAGCAAGTGCGGGCTGCAGTATGGACGTAAGCTTTCAACTCGTTTGGGTAAGTCCTAAGGAGTATGATTTGCCGCATCGTATGTCAAGAGCGTGTCTCGTTTGGGCAGGCACTGTAAAACTCCTCTTGAGAATTTTAGGGGCCTTCCTGATAGAGAATCTGGAGGTACAAAGGTACCATGGGTGGAAATGGATGAAGGAAAGAGCGTCGCAAGTCACTCTGCCATGGGGTCTTGTCTTGGAGAAGTGTGGAGCCGTCATGACTGAAACAGAAGTGCCTTCTTGCAAGAGCGATCGAGCCAGGCTTGTGGCCAGGAATGACATCCCTTCATTCACAAGAAGACACGGTCCTGTGCAAATCTTGGGCTGGAGGCCTTGAGCGCTGATACCTTCTACATAATTAGGTCACGAGGCACATGCAGGAGTGAACCATGCTTGACCCCGATCTTTGATATCATTAAAAACTGGGGGACAATCACATTTTTGAGCTTTTTTCCTAAAAGGAAGACTCCGAGAGAGAAATTTCCCCTCTGCCATCTTGTTTCATGAGTTTATGGAAACTCCCATTACACAGCACCTCAAAGAAAAGACAAGCCAAGGAAACTTACTGGACAGCTCTCAGAGTAACACTTTTTTTAAAAGTATTTTTCCCCCTTGATCTTAAAATAACTGGCTTTTTGAGCCATGAGAAATAAAACAGGCATTTGCTTTAATTACTGTAACAATGCACTTTTGAAGATTCAAACATCTGAGCTTTGGCACTGGACACATATTTAATGAATGACTGTCCCTGAGCACTGGTAGAACGTACCAGAAAGGTATGGAATGCTTTATATAAGGCCTTCACATATGTTGTCCTGTTTAACAACCCAGTAAGGTAGTTGAGGCAAAGATTCTGTCGCTCTGTGCTCCTCCTTGAGAAAACACAGGCTCAGTTCACGGACTATCCTGTGGCTTCAGAACAGAGAGAGAGCAGGCTTCAGAAAGCAGGAGGGCCTGAGGAAGTGATCAAGAGGGTCTGAGATACTCTGGGGAGCCGGGTGGCTGGAGGGGGGACAGGCCGGCCCTCGCCATCAGGCACCCAAGGCCTGTGGTTTCAAGTTGGCTGGGAATAATAGCTAACAGGAAAGCTGCACAATATGTCCGTTTCACATGGATCATCTCAACGACTGTTTACCAACAGCCAGGGCTTAACTGCTGCTCTTCCCATCTCACAGATAGGGACGCTGAGGCACGGAGCAGTTAAAGGAATGGCTCCTGGCGGAACGGCTACAAAGGGGGCACCGGCCACTAACCTCGGAGACCTGTCTTTAGCCTGCAGGCCAATTCACCTGGGCATCTCCCTTTCCCTTTAAAGTCCTTGTGGAAGCGAATCATGGCAACGGTGGGCTCCAGTCCCATCGGGAGCCTGGGCAAATCTCTTCGCTGCTCTGGGACCTCAGTTTTCTCACCTGCAAAATGGGGGTGATCGGGCAAGCCCCCTCCCCCATCCGACCCGGTTACCCAGGGAGGGGTTGTGGACCTAGGTGGGGTGCGTGCGAAGCCGGGAGCCGGGCGGGGGTCTTCCCAGCTCCTCCGACCCCCTCCCCAAGCCCTGTGGCTGGGAGTAGCTGGGGCCCACGTGGGCCCGCGCGGCGCAGTCGCAGCGGCCGGAGGCAGCGCGCCCTCCCCCGCGCCCGCCGCGCCGGGAGGCCGCTCCGCACCATATTTAGTCAGGGGGAGCGGGCAGCCCCGGGCTGGTATGCGGCGCTGGGGATTCCTGCAGGAAGGCGCCCGCGCCTGCCCTTTTTGGGTTGTCGCCCGCCCAGCGCCCCCCGCCGCGCCCGCGGAGGGAGGACCGGCCCGGGGACCCGGGGCCCGTGCGGGGCGGGGAGCGGGGCGCGCGGGTCCGCGGCCTGGCGCGGGGCCAGCCCACCGCCTCGGCTTCCTTTTATGGCCTGTGTGCGTGCGGGCGACGGAGCCCGGGAGAAGACGGAGAGCCGGGGAGAGAGCCGGCGACGGAGATCCGGAGCCAGAGACACAGGGCCAGAGATAGAGGGAGACAGTGGGAGACGTCCGGGAGAGACACAAAGCCAGAGACCGCGGGAGAGGTCGGGAGAGACACAGGCCAGAGGCAGAGGGAGACAGAGGAGAAAGTGAGAGACAGAGACATACAGAGTGACCGCAAGGCAGGAAGAAAGAGTGACGGAGAGTCACTGCATCAGAAGTATGGGAGAGAGACGAACAGATTGACAGACACAGGCAGAGGAGGGGAGGGAGGGGTCCTACGAGAGAGGGGAGCAGGGGTGAAGTTTTAAGCAGCTTCTTCATTTGCAGGAACTTCTGGGGCGGGGGAGGAAGAGTTGGGAACTTGCAAGGGCAGGGTCGCACCCACTTTCTCTTTGCATCCTGACTCACACCTTGCAAGTTACATAAATATACCCTCCCCGACACACACACCCACACACCCATTTTTCCGCTGCAGAGACTGAGGCTCAGAGCAGGGAAGTGACTCGCCTGAGGTCAGGCAGTCAGCGAATGGCACATCGGGCCTCAAGTCCCTGCAGCAGGTTGTTGGGTCCCCCCCCCAACTTTTTCTTGTGGGTGGAGGTGGAATAGCAAGTTGGGAAAAATAAAAACTTCCCCTTCCCAAACGATTCCCAGCCGTCGGGGGCTCCTGCCTTGCACTTTGCAAAGTTCAAAAAATCCCCTTACTCTACCCTTCATGCAGTGCGGCCGGCCCCCTTTCCAGGCACTGGATGGCGAATAAAAGGGGGAGCGGGGCTGGGAGGTGGCAATTCAGACCCCCCACATTTGCCCCCTCCGAGGGGAAGGAAGCGGTTAAAATCGGGGTCGTGCACTGACTGAAGGGAGACCTTCTCAAGCATCTCCCCTCCCCGCTCCCAGACGCTGATCGCTCGGCCCCTTGCTCTGGGAATCAGAGCCTCGGTGAGTGTCCCAGAGCCGGGTTGGGGTGGGGGGGGCGGTGTGAGACACCGGCCCGAACTCTTCTGCGGGGAGCGCCACAGCCCCCTGGGTCCCCGCCACGTGTGCGCCCCTGTCCCAGCGCCGCCGCAGGTGAGGCCAGGAACGGCACAAAACGCCGCGCTTCCCGGGCCCTGCAGGGGGCGCTGCGGAGCCAGCAGCCTGGGACCCTCCCTCCTCCTCCCCCCCGGGCCGCCTCCTCTTTCCCACCGGGGGCAGCTCCGGGTCTATAAAGACAGGCTTCCCGGGCGAGCCGGGAGATTTGGACGCCCCTGCCTGGGAGGTGTGCCAGATCTGAGCTCTCCACCCGGTTTCTTCTCCGCTGTCCCCCCAGTTGGAGATCTGTAAGTAGGGTGGTACTGGGGGGTGGGCAGCTGGGTAGGGGTCATCCTACAGGGGCTGGGGAGCAGCAAGGTGTTTCTGTTGCCATCCTTGTCATACGGTCAAGGACTCTGGTGAGGAGGTGGGGATTCACAGTTTTCATTTCTCTGCTTCATCAACCTAGGTTTTCCCCAAACCTCCATCTCCCCAGGTGGCCAACCAGAAGTGCCACCTTGGGGGTACTTGTTAAAGACAAAAATTCCGTGCTCACCTCCAGTTACACTTGAATCTCCAGAAAAACTGTACTTAAAAAAAAGGGGGAATCCCAGATGATTCTTATGAGACACATCTGGGAGATGTGATCCCTTCAAATCTCAGAGGAGCAGCTTCCATTGGCTTCTAACTTTTATTCTAGGCACAGATAAAGTACAGCTGAACTTCCCTAGAAAGTCATTTCCAATCACAGAGGCGGGCAAAGTAACGCTCTGAGTGGATTTGGAAGCCTGGCTTAATTCTGTTGAAAACGTGCTAAATCAGTGAAAAACACGTGGGCAGATGCTTCCCAGAAAAGGGAGTGCGTTTTTCATCAGTTTAGAGGATGTGTTTGTTGATCACGCTAGAGAGGGAGGGCTGGTTATGATGCAGTTGATTTATCACAGCCCAGTTTTCTTCCAGACTCCCCTCCCCCATTCCAAAGTTTAAAAAAAAAAAAAAAAATCTTATCCAGGTTGACCCCAAGGGCTTCAAATACCCAGACAGATGGGACAGTTTCGATTTGCATCCATGGCCTGCAGGTGTGTTAAGTAAGAGTGCCCTGGGATTTCCTGTGAGTAGCTGGCACCCCTGTTGCTCTGAACGTCCCCACAAAGTGGACCAAAGTGAGAAAAAGTCTGGCTGATGTCTGTTTCAGGTTTCCCCCTGCACAGAGAGCTGGTGGGGATTTTGCTGCCTGAGGAAGGGCGCCATTCAAAGCTATGCTGATCAAGACGTTAGAGAAAATAGTTAGAAACCCAAGGAGAGGGTTTGGTTACAGTGTTAAGAACTGAGAGATTAAATGGTTAAGTGGCCAGGGTTTGGCCAAGGGAAGGCAGGTGGATTGTTAGTAAACCGATTTGCATAGTTGTGTTTTGCTTCGTCTTCTCGATTGGTTTAGTTTCCTTAAAGGTACCAATGGAGAGGTTTTTCTGTTTCGTTTGTTTTGTTTTTACAGAGAGGGAACTGGAAGGTGCTGGGCTGAAAGGCATTGGATGGCAAGGTGTAAAATAGGAGGTTGAATTTCTGTGGAAGGAAGTCTTCCCTTGGTGCTTTTCCATTGAGACAGCCACCACTGATGGGATAATTATGTACCAGGCACTGTAACGGTGTTTGATTTAATTTATCTCATTTAAATGCTGCAATGACCTTTTAAGGAGGCACCATGATGCCTGTTTAGTCAAAAGGCAGCTGAGGCTCAGGGAGGTTAAGTAACTCGCCCAGCATCACACAGCTAGCAAGTGGTGGAACCCATTCCTGGGTCTGTCTGATACCAATGCTATGTGGTCTTGACCCACCACCTTTTGTCTTTACCATGAACAAAACGTCTTTTGGAGTCAAGTTTCGGGGGGGACCAAATGCTTCCGGAAAGCAAGGGTTTATCATCTTCTCTCTGCAGAAAACATAAGCTGACCTTTTGGGAATTTAAAATAAAACGCACCGTTTGTCTCCTGGTGGTGTGGTAATCTAGCTGGGGCCGATGGGTAGACTGCCATCCCAAGAGTCTAACTCATGAACTAGACGAGCTTTCTCCAAGAAGCTTCTGGGGCTCGCCTGGTACACACCGTGGTTTTTTATTTTCGCATCTGAAATAGACGTGTTCTTCCGTACAAGGTATTTGTTATGGATTTGTTATCATTACTTTTCTGTCCGAGGGCTGAGATTGAGGCAAACATGGCCATGTATGGTAGTGTTTTCCATGAGGCCATACCCGGCTCGCTTGCAAATTAGCGTCGTAACACAGCTTTGTTGGTCGTGACTCTGGGGGATTTCTTGGCCCTTGTCCTTCCCATTTGGGAACAAGTGGAGGGGCCCGGAGGAGAAGACATTTGGGAGAAAAGGAGGATTATTTTTCCCTGCTCCTCTCTTATTTAGAATTTTTTTTTTTTAATTAAAAAAAGGTTTTTAGCCACTTGGGTTTATTAAACTACTGCTTTCCAAGATAGGAGTAGAAAACAATACCTGGTGATTATCTTTGCCAGACCATATTGCACTGGCAGTGAACTAACTCCAAGGCTCCACAAGACCATAAGGATTACTGTCCAATCCTGTAACGAATTTCTCTAACACTCTTCATTCGGGGCAGGCCCCCACAGTCTCCTAATTCTGTGTCTTCCTCTGACATGGTCTCCTCTCTGTTCCCTCTTCCCGGAGCTCTGCCCCACCAAGGTTTGGCCAAACCAGCCAGTCAGAATCGTGACTTGACCGACCGTCATTCGAATTGATTCACCTCCAAGGACCTGGGTCTCCTATTCAGCATTTGGTGCTCATTACTGAATAAATCAGTTAGATTAGAACTTGTGATCTTAGGGACCTGCAGGGGAACGTTCTAGAGGCTGTTGATGGCCAGGATCAAGGAGCTGGCAGACTCGGTTCTTGGTGAGGGCACTCTTCCAGGTTCGAAGAAGGGTGCCTTCTCGCTGGGCACTCACACGGCCTTTCTTGACAGTTTTATTTTGGAGGAGGAAGGGTCTCTTCTTTCGTCAGCACATCGGGGCCAAGCAGGCGGACGCCCTGTTGGAAATTGAAATGGATTTCCGTGTAATTCTCAAATCAGATCCGTCTGAGATTTTTCCGGAAAACCAAGTCCGCTGTTAAATCCGCTGGAATCCTAGAATGTCATGAGCAAGTTTGGAAATCCTCCACACCGGACTTCACAAACCTCCGTTTTCCCATCTGAAAAATGGGGGTGGGGTGGGGGAGAATAGCTCATGTTTGGTGAGCACTTTGGCCAGTCGACACGCTGAGCCCTTAACTGGCATCATGTTACCATCTTCGCAACAACCCTTGGGAGTAGATATTGTTGTTGGCCCCTTTTTACTACTGTGGTCTGAATAACTTGCTCAGGATAGCTTGACTGGCCCAGGAGGAAGACTGGATCCTGCAGATCCAGCTCTTTGTAACTCTAGAGCCCAAGGGATTACCCTGTCGGGAGGATTAAGTGGGATTAATGCACACGAAGGGGGTAGCATCGCCTGGCCTCTGCCTCACTTCAGTGGGCGATTATTTATCACGTACGTGCCCAGAGACCTTAAGGATTGTGCTTCATGTGGCGCAGCTGGTACTTAGCAGAACCAGAAAGCCTATCGTGTGACCTTTATGTCAAGGAGAAACTTGTCCCTTATTTTCATTTTGTGTCCTGCCTCCGTAATCCCAATCCCTATTTGGCATGAAGGTGGTAGTTAGAACCTTCTACTTGAATGTGGCCACACTTGCTCCCCTACGCCAGGCACATCGCAAATTCCAGTTCTACTGGGCCATTTGTGATTCATTTCGGGCCATCATGGCATCCTGGAAGGGCTCACCTAGGAATGGGAACCTATCTGGCTTTTCAGGTGGCTCTTTGGCTCCCTGGAAAAGAGGGAAAAGGCTCCGCCTTCCTCCCCTGACCTTGAAACAGTTGAGCCATGGCCACACGTTGGAGGAGAGGCTGAGTTCGGGAGAAGGCCAAGCGGGAATTTGCAGGAATTTTGTAAGGCTCAGGTGAGGGAGGAACTAGTTAGTGCTGTCCATTGCTCCTGCACGGGGGAGTCCCGTATCTTGAACCTGCATTAGTGATTCAAGGGTTTGGATGGAACAGCCCTCATCAAAGTCCCCAAGAAAGGGCCCACTGCTCACTCATGCAGGCTTGAACTTGCCCCATTACTATACCCGTTCCTTCCTTCCCCTGGTGAAGCGAACCGTGGAGCAGATGACGTAGAATCTCAAAAGGGGCCTCGGTCTGAGACCGCTGGGTCCTGATCTGGGGTCACGATTGCCAGTCCCCCGTCTCCTCGTAGAATGCCTGTCTCCCTGAGCCCCTTCCTCCTTGCCCTCTCGATTCTTCCTTACCCCCTAGGTGTAATCACGGTCAGTGTATTTTCTTGGGTGTCTTTCCAAAACTTTGCTACGTCGAATTTCCTTTTTGTCAGAAAAAAAAACCTGGCATTCCGGACATTAGGATTTTTTTTCCCCACTTAATCGTAGATCTTCAACATCTTTCTCTATTGGCATGTTTTGGCATGTTTAAAAATCAGCTGTATAATCCTCTAGTATTGGAAAGTACAGCTTCTTACTGAAATAACCCCTTATGGAAACATACCAGCTGCTCCCCATCACTTAGAGTGTTTCAGGGAACATCCTATATCTATTTTGGTCTAATTACATGAATTTATCTGTAAGATCAATTCCCAGCAATGCAATGGCCAAGTCAAAGGGCACGCGCATTTATTTTTTTTTTAAACATTTTTTTTTCCAACGTTTATTTATTTTTGGGACAGAGAGAGACAGAGCATGAACGGAGGAGGGGCAGAGAGAGAGGGAGACACAGAATCGGAAACAGGCTCCAGGCTCTGAGCCATCAGCCCAGAGCCCGACGCGGGGCTCGAACTCACAGAACGCGAGATCGTGACCTGGCTGAAGTCGGACGCTTAACCGACTGCGCCACCCAGGCGCCCCAGGGCACGTGCATTTAAAATGGATAGATATTGAGAAATGTCTGTCACATTCGAGACTGTACATTAATTGTAAGCACGTTATGCCAGGGCTGGAAGATAGAAAATACCCTGGGGCTTTGAGGGCCGGAAATGACCAGTTCTCGCTTTCCCAAAAGTGTTCTTCATAGGAGCTATATCGTGTCTCTTGCTAACCAAGTTCTCTTGGTAGGAGAGAAAAATAATTTCACTCTACTAACTAAAAAACTTCCTTCTGGAGTTACTTTATTTATTTCTTAATGTTTATTTATTTTTGAGAGACACAGAGAGAGAGAGGCAGCATGAGTGGGGAGGGGAGA